TGGATGGATGGATGGATGGATGGATGGATGGATGGATGGATGGATGGATGGATGGATGGATGGATGGATGGATGGATGGATGGATGGATGGATGGATGGATGGATGGATGGGTGGATGGGTGGATGGGTGGATGGATGGATATAAAAAAAAGTGAATGTTTGTTTGTGGATTTGTTCCACATACGTTTTTACATGGATAAATGGATCTTTACCAAACTTGACAATATATCCATTATTACCCGGATAGAACTTCTAAGGGGTTATGAACTTTTTATAACATTCCGTTTGGGGCCGGGGGCCCCTAATTCGTTTTTTTCCTTATATGAGCTGTATAAATAAAATTAACAACAAATTCTCCTACACGAATGGATAGATGGATCTGACCAAATTTATTACACATACACTTGATTATCCATATTCAAATACCGAAGGATACTGAACTCATAATATCCATCACTCTGGGACCGGGGAGCCCATTTCATTTCATCTATATAAATATCAATAGGCTTAGACAACACTATAGGTTCTATGTGAATTCATGTATCTATGCCTAGCTTGGTAGCAATAACCTTCATTGTCGTATTGAAATATCGGTCGATTTAAAACTAATAATATCCCATGCATTTAGGGCTGATTTAGAATTTTCGAGAAATTTCGATGCTTAAAAAGGCTATACCTATTGCATTTTAAACCGATTTTAATGGGAGCAATTGGGATCCCACTGGGAAATGGGATGCCACCTGGATCCCACCGGGATCGCGATCCCACCGAGATCGGGATCACACCGGGATCGGGATCACACCGGGATCGGGATCACACCGGGATCGGGATCACACCGGGATCGGGACTGGGTCAGGATCGGTGTCAGAATGGGAATAGGGTCCCAATGGGATCGTCGTCACACCATGAAGGGGTCCTAATGCAATCCTGGGCCACGCCGGGTATATTGGCTATTTTAAAATAAAGCACAAATAATTCATTGCCCTTTAAATACCAATTGAGATGAAGTTTCATGTATTTTAATTTCTTTCCAAAAATGATATAGATTTTTTTTTAAATAAAAAAAAAAACACAAAATAAAGGCCTTAAAAAATCTTTGACAGAAAAAAAACTTTATTTTTTGTACACATCTCTTACAAAATAATTATATCATTTTGATATCACTAGATCAATTTGCTTAGTGTCAAACGAGAATAATATAGTTACTCTCCAAACGTCGGCCATTGTGCATTTTTAGTCTAGTCAGCGTATGATAGGCCTTGAGATCTTGAGCACTACCCTCATCAAACGTTAGCTATGAAGAAAAAAATCCTTTCGGCATTATATATTTTTCAAAATTAATTAAAAACTTACGGTATCTGATATCGTCAATGTCACTGTTTTAAAAAAAATAATTGGTGTCTAGCAAAATAGGAAAAGATATGTTCAATCTGTAACTTTAGCTGAGTTAATTAATGATCTTTTTTTTTTCCTCTGTGTCCCTGTGCCTGTGTTTGCAACAGATTACTTATAATGGGTTTTTTGTTGTGGTTCGAAAATAGGAAAAAATCTGGCAATTTTCCATCGACCAATTGAGTCATCAATCAGTGGCAGGCGATAGACTTCCGGGCCATGATCGTACAGTTTCTCCAGCTCTTTTTTCTCGTCTTTTTCGTCAGCAACGCGCCCTATCACACCGTTCACACCTCTTTCACGGTCCGTGCCAGGCACCGTGTTATCCATGAAACAAGCAAAAACGCCACCTACGAACGGCGGGTTAGAGAGGCATAAATTAATGAGGTTATCAAGATGTTGATATCCTGTATTTATTGCGGAAGGATTCTTCTGAACCCAGTGAGGCATCATCATCCCAAGTAATAGCGCGATCCCGATAATGCTGAGGTTGCGAATGGAATTCAGATCGATGAGCTGTAGATACGACAGGATGACCCCGATAAGGATCCCGAAAGATATGATCTGGGACCCGCCTATGACAGAGTAAGGCATACACATAAAAAAAGCTCCCACTTTTCCGAAAACAGCAAAGGCGATGTATATGACACCCACGATTTGAAAAACACTCCGGCTCGCCACTTTGCTGATCCCGATTACGCCAACATTTTCACTGTATGAAACTGTCGCGTGCCCGCATCCCATGCTCCCACTTATAATGCTCAACAAACCTTCAACAGCTATTCCTCTGTTGACAGCGTAGGCTGGCGGAGGCACCGCATTGGAAACCCGGGCCGTTGCTTTGTAATCCCCGATAGAGTCTAGTATGGACAAGATAGTGTTTATCATGAACGTTATGAAAGCCCCGAAGCTGAAAGTCATACTGCCGAACTGACCGGGGTAGGGAAACAGAAACCAGCTCGTGTCTCTCACTGACTGAGACCTGGCGTCCGTCCTTGCGTTGTACGAGATGTCAGCGGGGTCGTTAGGGAGGAAATTGTACTCCGTCATAACAAAACTGACCATCCAGCCCAGCAGTATGCTGATAAGCAGGGCGAAGATGCGGTGGTACGGTTGCCATGTAACGTGGAACCCACGCCCGGAACTCCACGTGGGCATGGGCATGTTGTAGTCACCGAGGTATAGACCCAGGACAAGACACGTGACTGATGTCAGGACCGCCACGAGCCAGTTGGTCTCGGAGAAGCTCACCACCACCGTGTGGATGTAAATACCGAATAGTGTTACCACCGGAACGATTGTTATCGGACCCACGAATCTTGCCAGGAGGCCGACGAAACCAGTGAGGCCCGCTAAGCAATGTAGAAATCCTGCCAGCATTAAACTGCCCGCGTAGGCATTGATTCTTTCTTGAACTATGTCCGAGTTTCTCACAGTGACGTTGTTGACCAAAACGAACAGTGCGGTACCGTTGGTGGCCGGGTCTACGATTCTAATGGTGGCCGGGCAGCTGAACTCCGGAAGCGACATCATGGCGAGCAGGGGAATAATGTACGTCGCTGCAGGACCCTGGAATATCGGGAGTCTGACCCCAAAGGTTGTCATGGCGAACGTGGACATCCCCATCATCATCATTGTGGAGCTGAGAATCTTAACTTTGATCTCGTCCTCATCGTTAGCACAGACCGCCTCGGCGACGATAACAGCGGTTCCCAGGGGCGTGGAAATAGCCAAGCAGCTCTGCTGGATGGCGAAGAGCACGAGGTAGTGCAGCGGGGGCGTTTCGGTCAAGTTGTACAGCAGCTGTCGGTGTTGCTGATTAGAGTCTTGTATTGTGATGGTACAGTCTTCAGGCCCATCCTCCCTGGAGCTCTCAGAATTTAAAACGTCACATGATACCGCATTTGTGTAAGGCGGTTTTTCAAAAGCTTTGAATTCTTTAAGATTTTTATTGTCTTGTTGTTTCCCGGATACTGCGTGCAATTCTGAATGATCTTTCGCACTAACGAGATCGTAAACTGACATGGCTAGATACGTGGTTAAATGAAAATGTCCCCTGTGAAGAATCTGACACAAAAACGTAAACTGAGATCAGCAAACGAACATTATCTCAACACAACACAAGTTCATTAGATGACTGTGTTTCCCATAAGAAAAAACAAGTGTGCCACATGATAATATCACGAAGACAAATTTGCACGAATAGAAATAGGACAAACGTGGCGTGTTTTAAGCAGTTGGCAAATCTATTACTGTAATTTTTGTGGGGGGGGGGGTATTGTTTTATTAATTAGCGATATTGGATTGCACTAACACGTCCATAGAATGCGTTTAAACTGCAGCATGGCTTCGGCGTGAAGAGGAAATTATCATAGTGACCATGTAGACAGGTCACGCCTTATAGGATTGTCAATTAAACTGTGTAGTGGAAAAGCTTGTTATATCTTTCTCTCTGTCTCCTTCCTCCCCCCCCCCCCCCCAACTGATTTCAGTATTAGGTAATTTAATATCAGTTAGATGTTTTTTTCTTGTTTCTTTTCTTTCTTTTTCTTTTTTTCACATAATGAATCTCCAATCTACAAGAAAGGGGAGCATTCTGACCCTGCCAACTATCGTCCGATATCCCTCACCAGCGTGGTCTGCAAACTGTTGGAGCACATAATCGTAAGCACAGTCATGAAGCATCTTGAAAGCCAAAATATACTCAATGATTGTCAACATGGCTTCCGAGTCAAAAGATAATGTGAGACCTAGCTCCTTGAATTTGTACAAGACTTGATGACCAATCTGGAGAACCACAAGCAAACTGACGTGCTGGTGATGGACTTCGCAAAGGCATTTGACCGTGTCTGTCATAGTTTGCTTCTACACAAACTCCAGATGTATGGGATCCAAGGCAACACTAAAATATGGATCTCTAGCTTCCTCAGCCACCAATGCCAAGCAGTAGTGGTGGACGGTACAAGCTCCTCCTTTGGGAATGTGAAGTCAGGTGTCCCCGAGGGATCAGTGTTAGGCTCCTGTTTGTTCCTAGCACATTAATGACCTACCCGAGAAGCTGACATCCCAAGCAAGTCTGTTTGCAGATGACACAGCAGTGTATAGGACGATCGCCAACAGATCTGACCAGGACCAGCTAAAACAGGATCTCAATCTGTTGGCTGAGTGGGAGATGAGCTGTGACATGGAATTTCACCCTGCCAAGTGTCAGACACTAACAGTCTCCAGAAGTTGTACTCCTCTACACTTCCAATACGAACTGCATGGCCAGTTTCCTCTGTAAAGTACCTGGGGGTTACCATTCAAAGAGAGGTCCGCTGGGACGAGCATAATAACAATGTATGTAACCAAGCAAACAAGACCCTGGGGTTCTTAAAGCGTAACCTAAAGATTGGCAACTACTGTGTAAAAGAAAGAGCATATAAAGCCTTTGTCCGTCTGATTTTAGATTATGCATCTTTAGTCTGGGACCCATTTACCAAGAAGAGCATTGACAGATTGGAGGTGGTCCAGCGACGGGCGGCTCACTTTGTCCTGAACCGATACAGGAATACCTCTAGTGTTGTCAGTATGCTGGAAACACTAGGCTGGTCACCATTGTAGGAACGACGACGACAATCCAGGCTCTCCATGATGTACAAAATAAATAATGGGCTGGTCCACTGTTCCAGTATTAAACAGAAACTCGTCACTCTCCCCATAGACAGCGACGAGGCCATGACAGGCAATTCAGGCTCATACCAGCAAGAAGCCAGTATAGGAGCTGCTCATTCCTGCCCAAGACAATCAGTGACTGGAACAATCTTTCAAAAGGAACGGTTGAGGCGACAACACTAGACACATTTGCGTCTATTGCCTCAAGCCTTCCAACCCCCATTCCATGATTCCTTCACAAAGTAGCACCTGTAATCATTGAAATATCCTTATCAGCACCAGGCACAGAAACTTTGCAAATCCCCTCTACATGCATAGGAGCAAAAAATAATAAATAAATTGATCGTGGGCCCTAAATATAAGAGGAATTATCTGGTACAACTGTTGAATAACTGTTCTATCTGGCACAACTTTCATTCTCAATCTTGTCGGTTTTACGCAAGCTAGAAAATTATTGGCTTTACAAATGATGGACAAAAAGTTTGTGCAGGGACATAAACTCTACTTAGTGTGTGCACTATTTGTATGAGCTCATTAAATTTAAATATATATTTAGGAGTATTTGTATTTCACTTTATTTATATAGCAAATATAAGGGAAAAGAAATGTTATAAAAAGTTTGTAACCCATTAAGAGTTCCTTCCGGATATGATGGATATATGTACCAAGTTTGGTCAAGATTCATCAATCCATAAATTTGTTCCATGTGGAACAAAGCCACAAACAAACAAACAAACAAATGTCACTTTTATATATATAATAATAGCAGATATACCCGGCGTGGCCCGAGATTGCATTAGGACCCCGATCCTGGTGGGACCCCGATCCCAATGGGACCCCAATCCCAATTTGACGCCGATCCCGGCGCAATCCCGTTTCCAGGTGTGTTCCCAATCCCGGTGGGATCCAATTTTCTTGTGGCTTTGGATTCAGGGGGAATCTGAATCCCAGTGGGATCCCTATCCCGTCGGTATCTCGATTCTGATGGAATCCCGATCTTGGTGGATCCCGATGGGCTACCGATCCCGACAGGATGCCGTTCTCTGTGGGATCCCGTTTCACCTAGGAACCCTCTGTTGCAATTTTATTCCGTTTCCCGATAGGATCCCGATCCCGGTTTCATCCCGTTACCCGATGGGATCGCGTAACCGATGGGTTCCAGTATACTAATGGATCTCGCTCCCCATTAGGATCTTATTCCTCTATGGGATCTTGCTCAGTATGATTTTGTTCGAATAAGCTCTTAGATCACGTTATATAACCCATTAGAACAATATAGAAGCTTCTGGAAGATTCTAGATGTAATTTAATATGCTCCATGAAACCTGTAAAAAATTACTTTTCTAAATAATTATTTTTCAAATACGAAATATTATAAAACTAATTTGAACTACTATCAATATAGTACATTTGAATTAAAATAGGTGCGCCAGTGGGGCCCATTTCATAAAGTACCTTTTTTTTAGTTATTCCTGAGATGAGGGAAGGGCGGGGGGGGGGGGGGG